TTTAAAAGATTAAATAATAGATTTAATAACAGATTTATTTTATTTTATTTACGAAACAAATCACTCTATTTTAAAAATAAATTACTGTATAAGAATTTTTATATAATTTTAAAGATAAAAAAATATAAACTACACGTCATTAAAAAGATAAACATATCATCAATTTTTTAATGCAAATATTAAAATATACAAAAAAAAATCTTTGTAAAACTCAAAAGATATAAATTATAAGCTACACAATATTAAAAAATAGACACATTATTAATTTCAAGACAAAGATGTGAGAAGAAAAATTAAAATTACTTAAATTTGAAATAAACATATATTTTTTTAATGAGAGATGATGCAATATATCATTTAATAATTGTAAAAAAAGTCAACATCAAATTTATTTATATATAAATTATAATTTAATAATGAATATATAAATTTATACATATTAATTATTATTTTTGAACAAAAAATCACAAAATACAAAAATAAAAGAGAATAAAAAAAATTACCAAAGTATTAGAAGTACTCAAATTCAAAGGAATCATAAAATAGAAAAAAATATGATTCAAACCAAACACAACAAAAAGAAAATATTTATTAGTGTCCCTTCCCAAATTCAATATGACATAGTAAATATCTTTTGGTAGGTTGAAATTATACGATTACGGAGTTGTTTTTTTTAATTCTTACCTTAAATTAATTAATTCATTAGAGTCATATATTTTTTCATAGAAATCTTTTCCACTTTTGTAAAATAAAAATGAAGATGATTGGAGTTAGAATAATGATAAGTGTAAAATAGTATGCAGATAGAAGTTTCTTTAAAAGGTGAAACGAATGAGGATTTTAAATATATGAGAGAAAATTATATATATATATATATATATATATATATATATATATATATATATATATATATATATATATATATATATATATATATATATATATATATATATATATATATATATATATATATATATATATATATATATATATATATATATATATATATATATATATATATATATATATATATATATATATATATATATATATATATATATATATATATATATATATATATATATATATATATATATATATATATATATATATATATATATATATGAGAGAGAGAGATTGAGTAGTATACAATTACTTAATTTTGATTTCCCTGATTGAAAATTAAAACTTTTTTTACACTTTCTTAACATTTTTGTTTTATAAATATTAATTATTAATTCAATTAAGTTTTGTTAAGCTATGTAATTGAAGGAGATATCTCAGTCAAGATTAAAGATTCATCGCCGACGAATGGTTATTGATTTCAAATCGGTTGGATGAAGTTAAGAATATGTTGTTGAATTAAAATTCGAGTTTTAGTCGGAACAAGCTTAAGGGAAATTCGGTTTAAAAATTGGTCCAAACAAAAATTGGTTTGTTGGTGTAAACCGGTTATTAACCAAGCCGATCCAAACATAAACCAGTTTTAGAAAAATAAACTAGTTTTTATCAAAGTAGTTTTAAAAACCAAACTGATCAATTATTTGGTTCAAATTATTTTGATTTTAGAACCATGCACACCTTTAGAGACCTCTGCATACGCTTCCTTACGCGTATCAGGCAGCACAAAGGCAAAGAGCAACCATCTTTGCCCACATACGCATGAGTGTGTCCATATGTGTATCACAAAATGCAGCACACAGACCCTGACGTGTATGCAAAATAAGCTTTTAGCAGGCCAATACACTACCAATATGCACCCATGTGTGTATAAGATGCAAGAAAAATAAGCCATACACATATGAGAAGACCTATACGTGTATGGAACTCCAAAAGTGCAAAATCCCTGATTTCATTTTAGTAAACACCAGAAAGTGATCTTTTGAAAAAGACACTTGATTTTGGATGGTAAAGTACGAGTTGAAGGATGAATAATGTAGTGGAGCAAGGTAAAGCAACATCTTCAATGGATTTTCTCCATTGAAGACTCTTCATCTTCCTTCTTTGTGTAATGTTTGATAATTTCAAGATATTTATTGTTATTATTATGAGTAGTTAAACCCCCCAATTCTAGGGGCGCCCGCGTTCTTAACTTTGTTGATTAGTCTGAATTGACCATTGTAATGACCTATATTTTTTCTTTATCTGATATTTTTTGTCAGAGTTTAATATTTTCTCTTTCGGTAAAATTGTGAATTGATTTACGCTTACCTGTTAAGTAGGACTTTCGACAGTCACTACAACATTTTGAATATACAGCAACACAAAAAAAACCGTTGCAAAATCTAAAAAAACCGTTGCCTTTATCTATGAGAACGGTTTTCAGGGCGTTCTAAACCAAGGCGTTGTTTTAGCCTTTAGGAACGGTTTATTAGTCAACGACAACGCCTTATTCAGAGCCGTTGCTGTAATTTTATAAAGAGAACGGTTTGGTATAGCAACGGCTGGAGGCCGTTTTCAAATTTAAACCGTTGCAATTGTTGTTTATTTGAATACGACTATTTTATGGAATATAGCTACGGTTCTTAGCCGTAGCCTATTCTAAACCGTTCTAATAGAGTCTTAAGTTCATTTTTTCTTCATAGGTTATAGCAACACCTTCTTTACTACAGACACACTTTGTAACTGTTGCAAAAGAAATTATTTTATTTTATAAACCAAATAAACTTATTTATTTTTTAATAAAATAAATTTTTATTTTATTTTATAAACCTGATAATAACCTCATTCACAATTTTTTTATATAATAATATTCAAATACAAAACATCTTTAAATTGAAAATGATCCAACAAAACATTTAAAAAAAAAACATCTTTAATTTTTTTATAAACCTGATCTTGCATATCGTAATGTCAACAAAACATCTTCAAATTACATATCATAATGTCAACAAAACATCTTCAAATTACATATCATCCCAATATCAATCATCATTCATAGTCAAAATAACATCTTTAATCTATAAAATTAAACTTAAACATCTACATCTACGTTTCTTCATCTTCAAATTCAAAATCTTCATTGATATTATCATTCATGACCTGCAAAATAAAAATAATATTAATAAAATAAGATTATTATTTGAATGATCAAAAATAAAATAATCCACTCCAAGTAAATAATCCACATATATAAAATCCCTTAAAACATAGGAATGTAACAAATTTTACTTGATCATTAGTTGGAGCATGTGTTGATGTAGAAGAACGTAAGACACTGTTAGCATCAGTTGCAGGAGTTGATATCAAAGCTGCCAAAGCCTCTATATTCAACTCGGAGGTATTTTGATTCAAAACAGTCTTAAGAAGAACCTGAATTTTCCTATCAGTTTCTTCTTTATCTTGACGATGTTTTTCTTCCATCTCTTGTAACTTGTCATTAAATTGTCTAATTTCAGCAGCATGCTCTCTTTTAATTTTTGCAATTAAATGATTTTTCACTTCATTCCTTGTAAACCAATTACTATTGTAACAATTAGCACAAGGACACAAAATCTCTTTCCCGCGGGGCTTTCCTTTCGTGTATGCATAATCTAGAAAAGAATCAAGACCATTTTGGTACTCTTTACTCGCGGGGTTTTTCTTTGTCCATTCCTTGTCCATCAGGTTTACGGGGATACTACCATTTATGGAAAAAAATGTATAAGCAAAACAAGGAGAAAATAAACACAGTAGAGCAACCCAAAGTGTTCAATTTGTCAAAATTGTTTCATTTTGTCATATAAAAACTAGCCTACCAAAGGGTTCCTGCTGCCAATAACTACAACTTTACTATTAACACAGAACATGCTCATCTAGTGCAACAAGTAACATAAACTAGGAATTCACATCAAATTCAGAAATATCAGAAAAACAGTCCAACAAATTTTATAGATGGATGTCGATACAAACCTGATATAATGTCAGATGGGCATAAGTAGTTGTAACTTCAGTCTGTAGGGTCTGAACTTCTCCTGATACTTCAGATCTCCGGTACTTAAGATAGAACAATGAATTCTAGTAGTTCTGTGACATAATCAGCCAAAATAATCTCAGAACAAAGACAAGACACACAACATTTGCATAAAAACTTGCACTTTGCACAACCTTAACAGAACCAATACTCAAACTTTACATTAAAAGTTAGAAATTAATAATGTATTACATACTGGGATTAATAATGTTAACATAAATTAATAATGTATTAGAAATTAATGAAAGAACCAATACTCACTGGGAATTAATAATACTGGGAATTAACTACATACTGGGAATTAATAATACTGGGAATTAACTACAACCAATTTTTGTTACTTATGTTGAAGACTATTGATTGTGGAGATAAAATTTTAAGGGTGAACATACTACCTGCAGAAGCAGATTCATGAGTTGTTATTTGTACATCAAGATTATGTTTCTAACGATTATCAAAATTCAATATGTGAAACTCACCTTATACAAGTGTTCAATTTTTTTATTTGGCAAGATTGTCATAACCCTCTTCCAGCTAAGTATCCTACAAGATTGAAATACATTATTTCTAATAAGTTAAATATCTCTAAAATTGGCCAGTAACATGAGGAATCAAATTTATAATGTGGACATGATGATGATGATGATGCAACGACGCAACCATTATTGTTGAACCAGACCTGTAATGTTTCATGTAAAAGGTGATGCTTTAATGCTATGGTTTGGTCTTTTGGCAGCAATACAACAGCAAAACAAACACATGTTATCAATGCATGACAAATATAAATACAAGTTGTGCACAGTCTCAATCCAAACAAACATGTAGGCATACAAAAAGTGATCCTTTGGTGGTGTGTGCATACCTTATGTACCTTAAAACAGGCTGTTTGCAACAGTGTGTCAAATGAATTTTTTTTACTGCTATGAACCAACAGGATTTGCAAACATAAACAACTTTCATGTTATAAACAAGCTACAACCAATTAGCATCAATCTTTACATTCATGGCAGCAGTAGTACACTAGAGCAAAGTGGTATTTTAAGTAACATAAACAAGACACAATGGATCAAAACATATTACATTAAGCATTCATGATGATTCCAGCAGAATTCAAGAGTTTCAAGCATGAGGGATCAAAACAACAAGCATCACATTCAAACAAACTCATGTTCTACCATAGCAGCAAAAATGAACAATTTCAAAAACTGTCTTGACAGTTATGCTGACCAATTCCAACATATGATAATCAGATTTTAATCATGAACCAGTTTTATGTTAACACTTGCAGTGAATTACACATTTATCACATACCAAATATCATGAAAATTCACCAATTGTTCATAAGTTCAAAAACACACCATAATGTTCAACAAGGCAAATACATAAAGAATGATGCAAGGGTTAATGAGAATTGGTTACATACCTGTTGAAGGACCTTTCAAGCAAGCAAAATTTGTTGAGAAAACCAGAGATATTGAATTCACCTCTTTGCCTTTGCTTCAAACTTAAGAAACAACCACTTATGATGCCAAAATTGTTCAAATCTATAGCACACAAAAGACAAATACCTTTAAAGGGAAATTTATGAAAAGTCATTATCACCTAAAACAAACAGTTCATAATACACTGAACATGATACATAGCTGAACTATAATTAATTATCACCAACCACAAAGAATAGTTACACTAAAATGTCAAGAACCTTCAAAGAACCTTTTTCTAACTACTAAAGTTTTGAATTATTTATCATTATAGTTTTGAAATGAACCATACTTTTTGTTCTACTACAAATCAAACCAAAACTTATACCAATAAGTTTCACCAATGCATCCAACCCTTCATGATAATTCAAAACTTTTCAATTAAAGTGGCAAATTAAGGCAATATCATTCTCCTTTGTTAAACTTTTCAATTATAAATGAACCATACTTTTTGTTCTACTACAAATCAAACCAAAACTTATACCAATAAGTTTCTCCTTTGTTAAACTTTTCAATTAAAGTGGCAAATTAAGGTGTACAGCAGTAGATAATTTTTGGTTTTTTCTGCATTATATTGATAGTTTGCCTTAAATCAAGGAAATTTTCCAATAGCATCACAAATATTGAGATGGTGTAGGACTCATACAGTACAAGGTTCAGATTGGAATAACAAGGTTTATTGAAAGAACAAATATGAAAAGAAGAAGAGAATAGAGACTATCTCTCCCCAAGGGTATCTATCCCCTTTCCACTTCCGCTCTTGCTCGGTTCTCTCTAAAATACTGTTTCATCAATGCCTCCTTTGACCTTTCTACTGTATTCCATTGTTGAAGATATAGGGTTTTAGATAGTAAGCATATTTTTGACATCATGTCAATGTAATTTTATTTATTCTTGTATATTTCTTTTCATTCCTTCATGCTTATACCTAAAGGACTAAACCCTATAACAATAACAGTTCATACAATGGAGCTTCATGTTGCAAATGAAATGCACATAGCTGGCCCAGAAAAATGTTATCAAACCACAAGTATAATATTCATATTTCAATAGGATCAAAAGGCTAAAGAACCATCTGTTGCTGAATATATATCAGCACTAGCAGTTGGAAACAATGCACTATTAATGGTTGTTGCTTGTGCTGCTGCAACTGATTCAACTACACTTGCACTAATTGCCGATGCTAATCAAACTAATGGAAATGTTGTTTGCTAATCAAACCAAGGGTGCTGCTAATCAAACTAAGGGTGTTGCTAATCAAGTTGAGTTCATGATTGGAAAAGAAGCACAAGAATTATTGATATTACACAAAGCTGATTTTGTGGTAATTGATTGTAATCTTGTGAACCATGAGGAGCGTTTCAATCATAAAACCACACACACAAAATTTCTAACACACAACAGCAGCGTAGTACAAACTAGAAAGCCTCACTGAAAATTCATACAAAATTCACACGCATATAGGCAGAGTATATACACACATCAAAATGACATTCACACTGAAAATCACAAGCAGAATTCATATGCAGAAAAAATCACAAAGATAATCAAATTATTACCTTTTTACCGGGATGAACCGAAAACTCGCACACCGCCGAAAACTCGCACACCGCCGAAAACTCGCACACTATTACGTTTGAAAATTGAAACCTATGAAAACAAAACCGTTAGATTTGTCGGCAGAGAAAAGAGAAAGTTGAAGGAGAAGATTTACACACACAAAAGTTGAATGAGAGTCTAGCTACAACGAAGAAGAAGGAGAAACCTAGCTACAACGAAGAAGAAGAACGCAGAAACCTAGCTACAACGAAGAAGAAGGAGAAACCTAGCTACAATGAAGAAGAAGGACGCCGAAACCCAGCTACAACGAAGAAAAGAAGGACGCCGAAACCCAGCTACAACGAAGAAGAATGAGAAGCTTTTGTGTTGAATAGGGTTGGGTTTGGGAGCACGATGAAGAAAGGATAGGGGTTAGGGTTAGAATCAATTTGGGATGAATGTCTCTTTTCTCTCTCTGCGTTAGAATTAATTTGGGAGGGAACTGAAAATTTTACATTGGTTTGGGAGGGACAATGAAAACTATACACATATGAGAACGGTTTAGTAAATAATATTTTATTAAATTAATTAAAAATTATATAAGAACGGCTCTAGCCGTTGCGAATAGGAGCCGTTCTCATTGTCCTCTACAAGAACGGGTTTGAGCCGTTGTATAAAGTTTACAAAAAATTATATAAGCTACCGCAACAAATTATATAATTAGTTGCCTATTAGTCTCTACGAGAACAATTTTTTTACTTTCTGAAAATTAGGCGTTGCTATAGAGTAAAAATGTTGTAGTGAGTAACGCTAGACTAAGGTATTTTGTATATTATATATCACATATGACTAGGGATACCATGTAGGAACCGTTATGTTCTTGATAATTAATTGCTTAATTTCATATGTAATTTACTATGGACATAGGTATTTGTTATGAATATGATGCCTTGAAACAAAATATAAACGATTTCTTTATAGACAAGAAACACATAAGGGTTAGGGTTAACATAGAAAATAAGGGAAAAACAACAAGGATTGGTTATAAACTGCTATTCTTTCCTTTATCTATCAAACAAGATTACATTGTATACAAGAATAACAAATAACCTCTCTCTCTCTATCTCTTGAATTAGGATTTTATCTTCCTATGTTTCCTTATACAAGATGAGAAACTAGCATGCTATTTATAAGGAAAATAGCACATTAACCTAATGGGATTTTTAACAATTATCCATTACAAGCTAACTTAGGGTACAAGCTAACTTAAACAATTGGACTTACAAGCAAGACCCAATTCAACATGCTAACAAACCTAGCAACATTGACTAATGCATGGTAGAACAAACTTCGAATACAACACGCATTACTCGAGAACAAACTTTAACCATACTAGAGTTCGATCCAATATCTCACAAATCTCCACCTTGGACCTAACTCTATAACATCAAGAAATTAGCTTTCTTCATGCAGCTTTATCAACTGCATACAATGGAAAAACTTGCAACTGGGCAATGTCTTGGTGATCATATTAGTAGCACTATGATCTGTCGAAACCTTCAGCACTTGGACTTCTCCATGCTCGATTACCCCTATGAAGAAATGCAGTCTCACATCAATGTGTTTGGTTT